GAAATCTGTCTTACCCTACAAGAAAATAGGGGGGGAAGGGGACAAGAGAGTAGGGGGATGATGGGAGGGCAGATTGGGAAAGGGGGTAATCAGAAGCAAATACTTCTGAGGAGGGACACGATCAAAAGAAAGAATAGAATAAATAGGGAGACAGGATAGGATTAAGAGAAATAGAGTTAGTTTTTCACAGCATGTCTACTACGGAAGTGTTTTGCATAACTGCACATGTATAACCTATATTGAGTTGCTTACCTTTTCAATGAGGGTGGGTGGGGAGGGAGGAAGGGAGAAAATTTGGAACCCAAAGTTTTAAAAACATATGTTTAAAAAAAATGTTTTCACATGCAACTGGGAAATAAGAAATACAGGAAATGGGGTACAGAAATCCATCCTGCCCTACAGGAAAACAGAAGGGGAAGGGGATAAGAGAAGAGGGGGGAGAGATAGAAGGGAAGGCATACTAGGGGAAGAGGTATTCATCTTGGGGTGGGGGGAGGGGTGAGATGGGGTGAAAATTTGGAATTCAAAATCTTGTGGAAGTAAATGTTGAAAACTAAAAATAAATAAATTTATTAATTAAATTAAAAAAAAAAACTGGTTCCAGAAAGGGAACATCTCTCTACATGAAGTTTTGCCTCCTTAAGGTATTCCTAGGCTGAACAACGTTGTCAAATGAGATAGCATAAAGGGTGGCCCTGGGGTCAGGAAGAACAGTTCAAATTCAGCCTCAGTCATTTACTAGTGGTATGACCCTGGTGAAATCTGCCTCAGTTTTCTCATCCATAAAATGGAGATGAGAACAATAGAATTTGAAGATCAAATGAGATATTTTTAAAGCGCTTTGCAAACCTTAAAACACTATATAAATGCCAACCTGTTAATACTATTGTCAGGTTAGTAAGAGAGGGGGAAGAATTCATTCCTTAGGGAAGGGTTTAGACCAAATGCCTTCTGAGATTCCTTCCAGATCCGAAGTTTTAGAATTCTACGCCCTGAGCAGATGGTCCTGGCTACCCACTCTCCTGCTCTCCCCCTCCCCCTCAGTTGTCCCTGAGCAGACAGCCCTATCTTCAACCTTCTGCACCCTACTGCCTGGAGTTCTGGCCCCCACATGGTTTAGGTCACACAGCTGTTGGGATGAATGTTGGCCTTTGTGAGATGTGCTTGTGGGAAATATGAAAGAGGTTTGTGTTGGGTCCATTGAGTTTCCGACTGCCTGGCATGATAGGGAAAGACACCAGAGCTGTAAACATCCAGGGGGACACAGACCCCCCGCCCCTGGAAAGCTTCTGCTGCCTTGACCCACAAGCAAGCTGGTGCTTCTCCTCCCAAAGTATCCAGTGATGGTGAAATTCAGCCTTTCCCCAGCCCGGCCTATTTCTCTGGTAGCACCCACTCCTGAACTGAAACACTCTGTCAGACTGGATGGTAAACAGACAAAAAGTGTTTTGCAAGAAGGTGGAGGAATGAGTTCCACAGTCATTTTGCTGGGGCCTTCCCACAGTTCCATCCACTGACCACTGCCCCTCCCTAGGGCTGCCTGGGTCTTTGCTGAAAAGAAATTGGAGGAGAACTTGCCAGAGAGCACCTCTCTTGTTACTGAGGAGTATTAACCCAATCAGATAGGGGACCAGAGGAGCTTTGAAACAGTCCAGGGGTGAGCTGGAGGAAGGGAGGGCCAGGCTGGGGGGAAGGCCCTTTCTGCAACACTCCCCTCATCCCTGAAAAACCAGCCAGAAGAAAGGAAACTGAAAAGGCTGGGAAGGGGCCACTCTTGAATGCCACTGGGCAGGTTGGGCCAAGGCCAGGCCTCCTGCTGAGACCTTGGGGGGAGGGGGAGGCTCCACAGGGTTCAGTTTCTGCAGCCTGGCCAGAGTGAGAGCCATTCTGGGCATTAAAGAGAGCGGCCCCATTCATTCGGCAAATATTTATTTCATAGTCACAATGTGTTAGGGCCCTGGGAAACAAAACTAGCAACGCTCCTTTCCCTCAATAAACCTACATTCTCTTTGGAGAGGGATACCACAGATACTTTGTTGTTAAGTTATTTAGTCGTTTCAGTTTCCAGTCCAACTCTTTGTGACCTCATTTGGGGTTTTCCTGGCAGAGATACTGGAATGGTTTGCAATTTCCTTCTCCAACTCATTTTACAGATGAGAAAACTGAGGCAGACAGAGTGATGTGACCTGCCCAGGTTCACACAGCTACTAAGTGTTCAGATTTGAACTCAAGTCTTTCTGACTCCAATCCAGTGCTCTGTTGACTGAGCCACCTAGTTGCTTCCCACATATACAAATCAGTATAATAGAGGTAGAATGTAAGGTCCCTGAGGGCAAAGACTTTGTCTCTTTTATGTCAATCAAAAAATTTTAAAATGCCTACTATGTGCCATGCTCTGTACTAAGGACTGGTGCTACAAATCAAATAAAAACAAAGACTGCCCCCACCCTCAGAGAATTTACAATCTAATGGTGGAAGAGGACACACAAAAGGATGCTGAAAAGGGGGGGAAGGCACGCCATCGAGGGGCCATTATGGAGAATTCCAAAGATGTGTGGTAGGGAATAGGGAGAAAAACTGTACTGAGCCCCTCGTTAAAGAGAGACCCTGGAGCCCTCGCTCTTCCAGTCAAAGGGTACTGAAGACAAGTGAGAACCAGGCAAATTCGATCTTGCTGAATAATGAGATTTCCCAAAGATGAGTTTCCTGGGAAAGGAGGGTGTGATGGAGAATTCCAAAGAACTTTCGTCTTTATATCTGCAAAGCCTAGCACAGTGCCTGGTGCGTGGTAGACGTTAAGAAATTCATGTTGAATTTTGGGATAGAGGCAAATGGGAGATGCTCTGGGAAAAACTGAGGGGAGGGAACACTTGTTCCTGTCCTGTGTGTGTTCTCTCATTTCCCTGGCTCTGGGTAAGTCTGATCCAGACTCAGATCCTAACTCTGGGCCTCTTACTGAGAAGTCAAGTGGGACTCCTTTGGGTATTATCTCAACCAGAGAAATGAGGAAGTAGGATGGTTTGGAACTATCCTAACAGAAGGAGCATGGTACACTGGAGAGAGCACAGGATTTGGAATCAACTGTCACTACCAGTGGGACCCTGGGTCAATCACATCACTTTTCTGGGCGTCCATTTCCTCATCCATAACATGAGGGGTCTGGATCGAGTGGCCAAGGCCTCTTCCAACTTTCAATTTGTGAACCAGAGAAATAAGGAGGTAGAGTAGGTTGGCCATTATATTAAGTAGAGAAATGAAGTGGGAAGATTTCAAAATCATTCTAATGGGAGTAATAATGGGAGTGGTCTGCTGAGAGTTATAACTCTACACCTTCAACTCAGCACTCCAAGCTCCCAATGGTAGACCCAGGGCTTCTTACCAGTGAGCATTCGTGCTACCAAGCTAAAATCCAGACTCATCTTCATAAATTTCTTCCCTCTTCTCCTCTCCTCACCTCCACTCCCCTCCTCTTTCTTTCCCTTCCCAACCTTTTGTTCTCCAACAACTTCCAACTTTGACTCAGAATAACTGTAATCAAATCAATACTACCCCAAATTCCAGCATATGTTATCTTCCCCTATTAGAATGCAAAGCCCTTGAGGGCAGAGACTATCTGGCTTGCTAGTGTTTCTGTCCCCAACATTTAGTAATCTGGCACCTAATTTGCATTTAATCTGTAATTTCATTCATTCCGGTAGGACTGCTAGGTCTTCATTTCTACACAATTTCAACTGGAGAAATGAGGAAGCAGGATGAACTCACTGTAAGCATCATCCTTCTAGAGCACTAGAGGAGGTGGAATGGTTTCTGACTCTTTTGTAAAATAGGCTGGCTGCCCACTTCATCTTTCCCCTGGTCACAGCCCTAACAGAACCTCCAGCTCTCCTCACTGCTCAGCTCACAGATCGGCTCCTGACCTGATTCCTTGATCTAAGTCCCTCATCTCTAGCTTGTTTGGAAGGGCAAAAGGAAAACAAGTCAGATTTGCCCAGGGCTAGACTCTGTCTAGGCAAACCCACCTTTTGATCCTTTGAATTTGGAAGTTGGAACAGGGGAGAGCTCTCATGCCAAAGAGGCTGTAACTGGGAAATCCTGAGGAGAAGGGAGATGGAACCAGATGAAAGGCAGTTTGAAAGAGTGGACTCGGGATTCAGGGGTCTGGGGTTCAAATGCTGACTTTGGACAAGTCACTTGACTTCTTTGGGAGACAGCGGCACTGAGGTAGCCTGGTAGTACATATTGGAGGGAAATGGGGAAGAGGCAGAGGACTGATGGCATCTCTGGGATGCCTCTTTGGCTCATCCCCCAAGGAAAGCCTGGGCCACAGGAGTCCAATCATTCAAGGCAAAATGGCCCCAGGAAAGAGGAAGGGAGCTGCCTTGTTGATTGCAACTTCTCTGCTTTTTCCCTGCCTCCTTTCTTCTCCTGAGTCAGAGGGGGCCAAATGGATGGGATGATCTTTCAGAGCCTGGAGGACCCCGGGATAGTTAGTTCTGAACCCAGAGCTGCACGAGAAGACAAGAGCCCCGAGTCCTGCCACCCTCCTTCACCAAGGGTCATCTCCCACCCCATGTAGGAATGCGTTTGACCGGCAGCAGGGAAGGGTGGCGGTGGTTATCCAGTCTCTGCCTGGACCCCTGCAAAGAGGAGGGGATCACTTCCGAGGCTGCCCATTTCATTGCTGGACTATTCTGATGGCCATAAGGGATGAGACTGCAGCCCCCTCTCCGGTGTGTCGGACAGGAAAAAGAGGGTCTGAAGACTTTGGAACTCGGGGGTCCCAGGTTCTAGTCACTGTGTGTGACCTTGGGCCAAGCGCTTTCCCCTCTCTTGGTCTCAGTTTCCCGGTCGGAAAAGGGGGAGAGGGGGTTTCTAAGGATAGTGGCAGTAGCTAGCGTGTGCACGGGTCGCCCCCCCTCCACTTTGGGGAGCATACAGGCGGGGTAGGGAGGCGGGTCCAGGGGGCGGAGCTTGCACCTCCCCTCTTCCTTCTCCCCCAGCAGCTCTTCCTTCTCGGTGCTGCCCACCCTGCTCTTCCTACCACCGTCACCCCCACCCCCTGCCCCAGCAGCTCGCAGGGCACCTCCCCCCCTCCTCTTCCCCCTTGGTGCTGGCCACCCTCCACCCCCGCCCCGAGACAGCCGGCGGGGCCCCTCCCCTCCTACTACTCCTCCTCCTCTCCCCTCCCTGCCGCGGTGGGTGACGTGCGCGCCAGGCAGGCGGGCAAGCGGGCAGAAGCCGGGCGAGGGTCCCCCGTGGGCCCGGCGGCGGGGGCAGCGGGCAGGCATGGCGCCGGGGCCCGGGCCGGAGCCCATGCCGGGCTACGCGCAGCTGCTGCAGCGGAGCTACCGGAGCCTGCTGGACGCGGCGCGGGGCTGTGCGGACTGTGGCTGGGAGCGGAGCCGCCGGAGCTGGGCCCAGCACGCGCACCTGGCCGCCGCCGAGCTGCTACTGCTGCTGCTGGCCGGCCTCGCCTGGACCGCGCTGCGCCAAGCCGCCGCCGCCCGCCTCTTTCGGGTCAGTGGCGCCCGCCGGCCGGGCCGGGCCGAGCCGCGGGGAGGGCAGAGCAGGAGAGGGGGCGCCGGCCGGGCCGCGGGGAGGGCACTGCCGTGAGGAGGGGGCGTAGGCCAGGCCCAGGAGCGGGTAAGGCCGGTGGGAGTTGGGGCACAGTCCGGACGGGGAAGGGCTTGCCCCAGGAAGGGGGCTTGGACGTGAGCTGGGAGCTCCGGCAGGGTGGGGAGGGGGCTGCCGCGCCTGAGGGGCGCGGCCCAGGCCCGGCCGAGGAGGGGGCTGCCGTGGCGTGAGGGGCGGGGCCCGGGCCAAGCCGGGAGGGGGCTGCGGGGGGAGGAAGCTGCTATGTGCGCAGGTGCAGGCACCCCCGGGGTGGGGGTAGACGGAGGACAGATGCGGGGGGAGGGGGGGCGAGAGAAGGCGAATCAGGGATTGACCGAGGAGAAGCCCTGGACATGTGGCTCCCCGTGTGCGCTGGGGACGGGGAGAGGAGAGGGTCACGTGACCGGGGGGGCACGCTTGGCCACATCGGGCTGTGCTGCGGCCCGGAATGGGCACCGGGTCTGGCTTGGGCCGGCATGTCTGGGAAGGGCCGGAGGGAAGAGGGAGAATCGTAGGGATGGGGCCGGGCTGGAGAGCAGCGAGTGGGGCCCCCCCCCGCCCTGCGGCGCCCTCTGAAGGTGACTGCGGGAGCCCTGGCCGGTGGCCCAGTATCAGGTGCTTCCCCGAAGTCAGACCCAGGACGCGGGCGCCGACCCTCCCTTGCTTCCTATGGACTGGGATGAGTGCAGGCCCCCTTATCCCTGTGACCGGGACCTGTCGCCCAGCCCTTTGGTGGTGAGCTAGAGGGAGCGAGACTGGGCTTCCTCTCCCCTTGGTCTGCTGGAGGGGCTGGAGAAGGGTGTACGAGCTAGGCAGGCCCCTTCCTGGGGCAGACTCCAGGCCCTGAACCCCCCTCAGCCCCCTGGGTCTTGGCTCATAGTCTAGAGAGATTTACACCCCTCTACCACCCCCACCCTGCCCCCCTACTGTCTAGGGGCTTGGCAGGAATCAGCCTGGGAAACAGCATGGGGGGAGGCGCTAGGGGATCCAGTGACCCTAACAATGGGGCCATTCTCTACCAGGGAAGAAACTGTCCCTTGTGTTCCCAGGACATGGGACATAGTGTCAGCTTGCTAGGAGGACCCCCTGGGAAGGGGTCCTTGTTCTGACTCAGTAAGCCCTGATTCAGACCCCACACCCCTCCTCTTCCTAGCTTGGGTCTGGCTGCAGCCTTGTTTCTTAGATCCGTACATACATAGGCTCAGGCTGAGAAAAGGAGAATTTCAGGGCACCTAGGCCACCTTCTCCCTTCCTGAACAGGAAGGAATACCCCCTCTACCACTCCTCATCCAAATTCTACTTGGAAGCCTTCAGTGATGGGGAACCCCCTAAGGCAGCCCCCATCTATCTGGGGGAAGCTTTGAGTGTTGGGAATGTTTCTCTTTATGTTTGCAACTTGCACCCCTAACCTGTGTGGCTGAGGTAGAACAGGTCTAATCCATTTCTGTTGTATTTGAAGGAAGCTGTCTTGTCCTGTACCTCAGATATTCAAGGGTTCTTAACCTAAAGGCTGTGAAGTTTTTTTTTTTAATATTTTGATGATTGAATGTTAATAGAATTGGTTTCCCTTTGTGATCTTGTGCATTTCATTTCATTTCATTCATTTATTTATTTTTGCATTTAAAACCAAGATTCAGAGAAGGAATCCATAGGTTTTACCAGACTGAAGGCCCAAGGGAACCATGACATACTTACAAAAGCTTAGGAACCTCTGCCCTATGTGTTTCTTCTCCTGGCTAAATATCCTTCCTTCTTTCACCAATCCAGAGTGCCCTCATCTGGACAGACTTCCACTTATCAATGTCCTTCCTAAAATGTGATGCTCAGAACTGAACCCGAGCCTCCAGATGGGTCCTTTGTTCAGAGCAAGTCATTGTGGGGCGGTCTCTGCCTGCTTCCCTTTCTCCCCCTCCCCCTCCTTATGGACACTGTGCTTATTAATGAAGCCTAAGATTGAATGAGCATTTTTGGCTCTTGGGTCACGTCGTTGACTCATCTCAGGCTTGTAGGCATCGTGACATCTGGCAGACTCCCCCCAAGCTGGGGGCAGGGGATAAGCTGGCAGACATGGCCTGGATCACTGGGATCCAGAGATGATGCATAGTCCTTGTTCTGGCCAGCACAGATGATCCTTCCTTGACTAGTCCAGACCCTCAGCTACTGACACAGGAGCTCCAGAATTTGTTGGAACAATATTTCTTTTCTCTCTGTTGTCCTCAGGGACTCCAGTGTTATGGAGAGGCACCAAGTTCAGAATCTATAAAGCCAGGTTTCCTTGTGTTGGAAAGGGCCTGCCCTTCCCATGCCACCCTGACTTTCATTCAGGAAGGTCTGGACTCTGAGCTATGTCTCTAGAGGTGGCCCTGTTACTTCCCACCTGTGATGACAGACCAGCTTTGTTCTCCCATTTTATAGATGGGGAAACTGAGGCCTCAAGAGAACATCTTTGTGAGGGAATAGGGAGGATGAGACTCAAGATCAGGGCCCCCAGTGCCTGGGCTCTCCCATGTGCCTGCCTCACCTACCACCTTTAGATTCTCAGATAGGAGGAGCCATAGACGTCTAGGTGGCATAATGGGAAGGGTGCCTGGCCTGGAGTCAAGAAGACATGAGTTCAAATCCAGCCTCAGATACTCTCTAGCTGTGTGACCTTGGGCAAGTCTCTGTACCTGTTCGCCTCAGTTTCCTCATCTGTAAAATAGGGATAACAACAGCACCTTCTTCCCAGGGTTGTTGTGCGGTCTAAATGAGATATTTATAAAGCACTTAGCACAGTGCCTGGCACTTATAAATGCTAGCTATTTTAGGAGGGGGTAAAGCAGGATTGGAAGGGGGTGTAGAACCCATCTAACCCAACCTGTAGCTGAACTGGGAATCTCCTCTCCAACTTGCCAAACGCATGGTCACCCACCCTTTGCTTGAAGACCCTTAGGGACTGGGCTCCCTGGGGCAGCCCATTCCCCTCTGGGGTAGCTGCAGTTTTGAAATTCTTTGAATCCCAGCCTAGATCTGCCCTCCTGGTAGGTAACTACCTGCCTTCCCCATTGAGCCTAGTTGTGCTCTCGAGGCCAAGGAGAGCAAAGCGAATCGCTTTATATGATAGCCAGTCCAACACTGGAACTCAGGGATGGGTTTCTCCCCACTCCCCCCCCAGACTTTTTCCCCTTCCTTTCTTGACTCCTTTGTTCCCCTCCTCACACCGATGGCCTCCTCAGAATAGGGTCTAACTGGCCTGTGATTATTTAGCAAATCTGTGACCCTGCCCTCTGAGAGCGTCCCCAGCCTGACTACGTCCTTCCTAAAATGTGGTGCCTAGAACAGAAACCCATAGGATCTTTATCAATTAATGTGGCGCCCAGAGGGCCGAAGGGGCTGGATGTGTGGGAGGGGGAGCAAATGTGGAGGGGACTGGGTCTGATAGAGGGCAGAGAAGCTGGACAGGCCCCTCCCAGTACTCCCCTGGGGTGGTGGAGAAAGTGGTGTAGGGGAAAGGGAGCCGGGACCTGAATGGAGAGCAGAGACTCATAGCACCTCCCTCCAGGAACCAGCCTGTGAGGGGCTTCCTCAGCCCTGTTGCCAGGGGAAACAGGAGTCCCTCTCCTGTCACCATGGCAACATTTCCCCACTCTGGTGCGCCCTCCCACTTCTGAGGAAATGTT